TCTTAGTCTAAGGACATGGCTCTCAGCTAGAGCTTTAGAAGAAGACAGGCTGTAAAGGTGAGATGGATAATTATAATGGGTGTATTATTTGAGAACAAACACAGAAGTTAATTTTAAAAACACCAAATACATGACATTAAAAAAGATAGCAAAAGGCAATGAATGGTTTTAGGGATTGGAAAACAGACCCTGTATCTAGTCTAAGGATGTACTACTAACAAGCTCTGAACAGGCTGTTACTACTCCATGTTAGTGCCACCAAAAAGGTACTGTTCAGAGGATTTCATTAGGAAATAGATACTACGCATACAATATAAGTCCTGGCATATAGTAAATACGATTAAAGGGGAAAAAAATAAAACAAATGGAAGAAAGAGAAGAAGAAAAATATAAACTCCAGTAGAAAAATGAACATTGTCAATTTTGTTCAATACCTTGAACAGTGCCTGACACATATAAAAACACAAAATTCTAGTTGAATAAGTAAAAAGATAGATTAATGGATAAAGTCAATCAAAATCATAACAGGTGGAAGAAAACATTTCAAAAATGATCATACCAAATTATGTGGAAATAGGGACACATATATTTCTATATTTTACATATATGACCTTATTTATTTCACCATCTTTCTGAGCTATGCCAGGATATGTTATAATTTTATAACTCTTTTACTTGAGACATGCTAGAGCTCAAATTGATGGGTGATTATCTCACACAGCTAACTTGAATCCAGACATGGGAATGGCCAATGGTTCCAGCAGGGGCAGTTGGGTGGATGAGTTGACATCAGGTTACAATTCTTTCCCTATGTAAGTTCCAGATTTGTTGAGCGTAAGCTTCATTTTGTACATAGAATTAGGAGAGTGGGGATAATATTTTTACTACTAGTCTTGGAAAGATAAAGCTTCTGTACAGCAAGCAATCCATGAAGAGAGAAAGAGAACCTGGTTAAGTACCTTCTAGAAACATTTTTATTTCAAAAGGATAGTCTAAATGATTTTTAAAATTTTCTCTTGGCCTTTCTATTGGAATGAATAAAACACACTTGATCTTAGTTATATCCCATTTTGATGCATCTCCTCTCCTTTATTTTTAACCTAAATTCATCTTTTGATGCATATAATAAACTGGTTAGATTCTTTGCTCTAAAATCATTTCTGTTTATTAAAAACAAAACAAAATAAAGCCTTACTGTTGAGTCAATTCTGATTCATTCGGACCCTATATTTCCAAATGTGTTAGCAATACTATTTCCATTCACTATAATCCTTGTCTAATCCTTTCTCTTGGACACAGTGGCTGCAACAATGGGCTCCTATATGACAATAATGTGAGGATCATTAAGAGTCAGAACTAACTCATGCCACCTAACAACGTTTGTGCATTGCTCTCTTTGACATCCCATCCTGTCAACCACCTGAACTCCAGGATTCTCCATCTTCTTCCAAATCCTCCCTGTTCTCTCCGTTTGGCATCACAGCACTGAACTTCTAAAGCCAAAAATGTTTTCTTGCCTGCCAAGTCACTTCAAGCGCTCCTGCTCTCTGTGGCCACACCCTCTCCCGCAGCTCCTTGGACTCAAAATCGTCTTAACTCATAGCTCAGGCTGCCTCAAAGGGAAAAAAGCTAAAAAAATTAAGTCGGATGAAACCTCAAGATCAACAGCCTCTGACTCAGCACTTTTCTTGCTTCTTCTGGTTTCTAGGACTCCTGCTAGTTTTCCTTTCAGCACCGTGCATTTCTGCTTTTCCTTTGCCCCAGATTGCTTCCCCAGACCACCTGCTAGCGCCTGGTCATTATCAATCTGCCCAATTGCAACGGAGTCAAATCTGACTCATGACAATTCCATGTATACAGAATAGAACCAGTGCAATCATTTTCAAGCAGATCATCAGAATTTTCTTCCAATATAACCAAGTGAGTTTAACGCACTACTTTGACACAAAGACTCTAACAAAGATATATTTCTATACCTCGATGGTGCACATGGTAAACTTGCTATGCTTTGCTAACTGAACATTGGTGGTGCAAATGTAGCCAGAGGTACTAGGAAGAGAGAACTTGTTCTTTTTTCAGGAAAATTTGTCTTTATGGAGGACGGTTCTACTTTTTACATATGGAGATACCATGAATCTGAATCAACTCAAATGTAGCTGGCTTGATTTATACAGAACTAATCTACTTTAAAATGATTTACATTAAAATATGTTACACAATTTGACCTATTCAAGGCCAAAGAATACAGTCTGTTAATATTTTTATTCCAAAGCCTCTTTCCTCTAGAGAGAGCAGAATGCAATTTTCCAGAATAATGTCCTGATTGTAGTTTATGATCACTCTTTGAAGATGAGGCAGACTCTACTTGTACTGTAGAGATGAGAAATTTTAAGTCTTTGGTAAGTCTATCTAAGAAAAGCAAACCTGTCTTATCATTCCAGGTATAGTGTCCAATAATATTTGAGGTATCGTTCAAGTTCAATGATATTATGAGGGTTGGCACATGTGTTTTTTAACTCAGCCATAAATCCAACACCTTGAAAAGGGTGAAAGTACAGAGCAGAATAGGAGGAAGCGTCTGGAATTAAGATTGTGCTTCAGAGAACAGTCCCATGGACACAAGAATAAGAGAGTGAACATGTACAGCATGTGATAAAACCTTACAACAAGTGTCCTTATCACCTACGGACAAGGGGAAGCAGGGGTCTGAGAAGATACACTAATGAATACAGTATTCAAAGGAAGGCAGGAAGTGCTGTTTTTAGCTGTATCATTCCAAATGAAATGCAAACATGCAAACATCATGTGAAAATTTCAGGAGATTAAGAAACTACACAGACTGTCTGAAATTTGGTGAAGTTCCTGCTCACTTTGTGATTCGAGGAAAAACTAGAAAATGTCTTATTTTGCTTGTTAGTTAAAATCATTTAGATTTTTTACACATAGGATAAAAACGGGAAATTATCCAACATTTATAAATATGATACCAAGTAAGATTATTATCTTCTTCAATGGCTTCGCATCCCTATATATTCTGTGAATCAGAGAATTTGTGTATCTTTACAAATAACTCTATTATTTAAGATAACTCGTTTAGGAATGGGAGGTAAAAAAAATGTACCCTGGTAGATTTCTACATTTTTTTAGTCAATCCTGCTCACGTTATATTTGCATTGATCAAATTATTCCATGTGATAAGTGTAGGTTTCTCCTGCCAACCCTCTAAGGAAATGTTCTCTGATGAGTTTATAGTGTTTTTCAAACCCCAGTCTTTTACATGCCCACGGAGGAAACTTGGGTTGGAACCTTAGTCAATGCACCACACTCTGTACCACAATCGAGCTATCACTGTACTTACTGTGATGTTAAACAGGTTTCAATGGACTGAAACAGACTTCTAGACTAAGGCATGTAAATTGATTTCCACAAAGTCAGTCAATGGAATGTCTATAGATTACAATGGTTTGATCTCATTGTG